GCAAATTCAACTCAATTACATCAATTAAATCTAGAACCTAAAACATTGATTCCACAAGGAACAAGAAGGGCTTCAATATGCTTATTATGTTGTTTTGTAGTTCTGACAACGTGAGTCTAAGGCAGCATCTTAACAACTTTACATTCAGATCTTAATCATTATAATAAGATGTGTATTTTTTAAGTTTTTTTAAGTAATGTCTGTGTCGAGAAAGCTCAAACGTTGACAATATCAACTGTGCCGCGTTCAGACGGTTCACAGGGTTCCTTCATTTAAGTGCAAACTGCAACGATTTCTGATCTCTTGGTTGTGTTCAAGGGAATTGGAGGACTGCATGCATCTGACAACCCCCACAGCACAGATCACAGTGATAGGAAGAGAGGAGGCTTGCAGCTTTAGTAATCCACAAGAGGGCAAATAATGCTAAATTATGTACTACATAATGTATATTCTGTTAACTAGAGATAGAGTAATATGCTTACCATGAACCCCAAAGTTAATAAAATAAATACAAGCGTCAGGCAGTGCATTGATAGGAACTGTGGCACGTCAAGTGATTTCCTTTCAAAGGCGAAGCCAAGAGCCGCGTCCACCCATGAGAATCCCAACCGTGGCGTGTAAGTAGATGTTGATATTAACAGCAAAGCCGGGGAGTGAGAGCTCCCTGCCACAGCCCGACTGGAGCATTTCAGGAGCCGTTGTGTTTATGAACAAAGGGCTGACAATCAAGCGGCATTGTGTGCACGACGCTATAACTAACGGCTGACACATGCACACACGGGTGATCTTCACAGGCACAATGTGTAAAACTGTGTAAAACACCAGGCAGCCGGATGAATGCTGATAACGTCGACACGAGAGGAATCATAAGCTTTACCTGGAGAATGAAGCTGTCCAGTTACTGGCATTTCCAGCAGCGAGCCGGCACATTTAACGTTCTAAAAACTAGTCGGAAGCCAGGAAGAGTTTACTAACTAATGGCCTCTTCCTCCAATCACTTCTGCCCTGTGAGCCATCTGAGGCTCTTAAGAGTCCTCAGGCAAAGAGAAACAGTAGGACTCTGTGATCGATGAAGTATATAGCAGACCTCCAACATGGTGTCAGCATTGGTGTCAAACATCATCATTTCGATCCCATAATATAACTATGTATAATAGAAATGTGCAACTGGGAGTCAATGGGAAACTGTACACAGAATAATTCTGCTTTCTATCCTACAATTGTAATCGCAAGGGGTTATAAGCCGCTCTGTCACTAAAAATGAATATATACTTGGTAGTCATACATGAAATTAAAGTATCGGCTGAACGTCTTCATGACGATAATAGTTTGGAGCAGGAAAATGTCAATGAGGCGCTGACAGTGTTGCGTTATTTGAGAGAAAAGTTTTGTGGGGAACAAGAAGCTGAAAACTAATGGCATTGATGTTAACACAAACCCCACGCTGTCAAGTTGTTGTAAAATCAATTTACAAATCACATATCCGAGGACCAAAGATTTGGCCCACCATCCTAAAATGAGGCATTGAAGTGAGTGGAGAATTACTTTATGAAAAAAATAATGATCATAAAATCATAAATATCTACAACATGATCGGTGGTTGGAAGCACACCGCGCCGCCTCCCTTCTCCTGGTTTCAAGGTTTGCGTACCATTGCATGGGTTATTCAGCATTTCTCTTTGATTATCATCAGGAGTTAATCACAAGCATACAAATATTTTAGGTAAAAATGATATATTCATGCGTACGGAGCCTGTAATGGGAAAATGATATGTGACCCTTTTAAATGCTTCATTTGTATAACCAGTTTATTAGTTGCAAGTGCTTAGGTCACAAAGGCCCTAACATACGAACTGATGTCTCCCACTTGGATTAGATGTTTCCAGCGTCATAGCTGTAGAGATTGAACAAAGTGTTTGTTATGTCTATGACCACCTTTGTTTAAGCATGTTGGGAGAGCAAGGATACGGTCAAAGAACTGACGTGTCTTACATGGATAAGATGTTCCCAGTACCCTGGCTGTAGATACTCAACAAGATGGTTAACGGTTTCTGTTGACGCCACCGATATCTAAATTTAGGTATAAGAACTGCCTCGATGTGTTGGGAAGAAAAGGAGGTTCTTGACAGTCTACTGACCACGTAGCTGTTGTGACCCTTTTTCCCTTGCAAGGAAATAAACGGAGAAAAGACATACTTGACTCAGAGCCTTTGTTTCTTACATAACGATTGTCTGTGCAAAATCTTCCACCACAAGCCTCCATTAGGAGTGGTGACGTATGTCCCTGCACGACAAGAAAGTACCGACAAGCCGACCAGCCGAACAGCCAAGTTCCCCTGATAGCAATAGTACGTAAAACGTCCGATTGTCGGTAATGCATCAGTTAACCACTTTACACATTTATATTTAGAGAGCAAAAGCTAGTGCCGTAGAAACTTGAAAACTTCAATTTGGAGTTTCTGCTCTGATAGTTTAGCAGGTTCTTTATGTTCCGCGTAGGTTTTATGACTCTAACTAGAGCCCATTGGACCAATTCAAACACCGCTGTGGAATTTTGATAATGGATGGTCTTAAGATTAGATAGCAGCTGTGTTAATGGTCTTATTCTGACCAAAATGCAAAGAAAGAAACTATCAAAATCCCTTCAAAAAATGTTTAAAATAATACTCTATCTTTGAAGGAATTGTCCAACTTATTGAACTTGTTCAACTTGAAGTTGTTTAAGATTTAGGATTGACTAAATTCAAAAGTGGATTCAATTAATAGCTCAATGTATTGTCTTATGCAAAAACTAACAACTGTGTAAACACATCTTTGTTTTTCACCACTTCAATAATACAGCTCAGCTTGTCAGCGGCTGTCAAAATAATTAGCTTATGCAAATGGGGGCTTAGAACCTCAGGTGGAGACTCCTCTAGAAGTATTAAACCTGTGTGTTTAGCATCAAGAGGAGAAGTAGCATGACATGGCAAATGATGGAGCGATGAGCGTAATGCTGCACATGCAGCTTTCCACACGCTTGTATTAGCAGAGCTAATTAGGTGTAATTGAGTGCTTTCTACGATCCCATCTCCTGAGGCTTATATATTACGACTGTTGTATTTATGCAAAGGTTATTTGGAAAAAAATATTTGAAATTGCACAGCACACAGTCTGTAGATGAAGTGCAATCAAGATTTCATCACAGCGCAGTGATCTATTACGTGACCTCTGTCGTGGACTTTGACGTGCTGAGGTTCCATGTAGAGGACAAATATTACATGACATGGAAGGGAATTAACAACTGCACATGATCTGAAAACAGCATGTCCAGCGTTATCAGACACAATCAAAGCACTGATAAACAATATATATACACGGTTTATACCCTTTCTATTACACAAGAATGTTTGCGATGCTCAAACAAAATTGCGGCAAGTTCACATACTCGTACAAAATAACGTTCAATCTCCCAAAAAAGAGACAAATAGTTCAACAAAAATAACCAAGAAGCTGCATCGTTATAGAAGTAGTTTTAAAACTACATACTACTTTGCAAAAGAAATTCCACACAGTGTGTGTGGCCATTATATTTGAGTTGTCTGCTGAAAAACGTCTCCCTCTGAGTTGATGCTGAATATTTGTCGCTGCAGGAGCAGAATAAACGCAGGAACAAAGTTTACATACTACTCCTCTTGATGCTGAATATATTAATGTAGTCCAGTATTCTCCATTCTCTCAACTGATTACTGGTTACTAGCTGTCCCAAAGGTCTACCTGGTCCATTAGGGGCACAGTCTTGACATTTGCAACATGGACTGTTGGATTTATAGATGAAATATAGAAGATGTATTCACAATGCGTGAAGTATCTCTCACGCAGACACAGACGTACACACACATGTTTAACCAGTAACAAAACTATCAGATTCCCATCCACCTAAAACCCTGTTAAAGGCAATTTAGTCGGCTGGATGATCATTACTGCCTGACACTGCTAATTACAAATACGGTGTCTTTATTTTTTCTGCACGAGGCAAAAGAGGGATTAACTTCAGGCCTCTCTGCTTCCCGTCTTCCTCCTCGTGAAGCTGACTGTTTACTGACTAATCTAGTTCCCTGCTTTGACCATAAATGTGATTACCACCACATAAGAGATAATAGAACCCATATCTCTGCTGTACCAAAGAACTTGAATTAAAACCTAAGCTGTAGCCTTGAGGAATATGAAAAAGAAATAAAAAAAGAAGCCCTCAGCAAAATGTTTGGTCCTGAGTGCATAGAGCCCCCTACTGGTGACAAGCATTCACTATTTAGCAAACACAACAAGCTCCATGATCTTCTGTTGAATACCAGCAACAGGTATGCTACGTTCAAAACACATCTTCTCGTGTCCCACAGTCGTAAAGTCCATCTTTGACCGTCCCCATTCGAGCAGCCGCATTGGTCAACGGTGTCTATTCTCACACTGACGTCTCACATGCAAGTGTGGGGCTGTGCAATCTGTGACATGTGGGTGAAGCCAAGTCATTGGGGTGGTGAAGTTAATTATCATTTCATTTGGGGTTAACTGCACAAGAATAGATGGATGTATACCAGATGTGCGACGTGACATCTGCTGATTCCACATACGTTGTTTGGTGTCTACTTGATGCAAGATCATCAATGAAATCGTCATCAAGCAACTGGGGATATGGAGATGAAGGAGTTGAACTTTAAATAGTCAAATAAAAACCGATGTCCCTCTAGTCTACTGCAGTGACATTTATTTTATGTGTCACATACATTGAGCCCAAAGAAATATACCGACTGCCCCACACATCCCATTCAGACAAATCCTTGAAACGTGGCCAAACGTCTCCATTTGGAAGGGCGGGCGGTCGGAAGGAGATCACACGTAGTTCAGGTCGCGTTTGTGGCAATCACCATCAGATTGTCCAATTTCGAAAGGGGAGGGGGGGAAGCGAGACGTGACAGGTGGCCGGTGGGGGCGACGGCTGGTCAGTAGCGGCGTTCGTCTACCTGATATTTCCTGATGAGGCACATTGGCGAGGCTGAACCCTTTGGCGTGGTACGCGTGCCTCGCCTCGCCACAGCTCCGCGCCTTGCTCTCAGCGGCGGATGACAGGGACAGCAGCGACAGGGTGCATACGGCGGCGTGCAGCCTCCACATCGCATTCATCAGGGGAATCCTGGAGGATGTGTTTCACGGGAATGGGGGGTTGGGGGGACGAGGTCCGTCAAAATAAACAAAAATAAAACATTGATTTTGGAAAAAAAGGAGAAAATGGGCTGTTTGAGAGATTCCTCCAGGACGCGCAATGTCCGTTCAAAGAAAAGCGGAAGAAAAAAAATAAATAAAAGAAAAATCCCTCCTCACTTTAGATTCTGCTGCGTCCACTTCATTTGGAAAAAGAAAAAAGCTTCGCCTCTTCTCGCACGATGATCCCGGCGAGCCCGGATGCTCCGGCGGGGGAGACAGTAGGGTACCTGGTGCTGCTCTCTGTGCAAACAACTTCTCCCGCACACACACACAGCAGCAGCAGCAGGAACCGTGTGCTCGTGTCAGTGGGAGGAAAAGCGAAATGCAGCGGAGACGCTCGGCGCGCGGCGGGCAGGGCGCACGATGGGGCAGGGCAAAACGCGGAGTGGAGTGACTGCGACTTCTGCTGATTCTCGTCCAGGGAGGCGCGCACCGTCCTCTGCCTGCGTGCGTCCCCGGTAGTAATGCGCGCCGGTAAATTGCCATGGAGACACGTGTTCGTGTGAGGACCTGGTGGTGGTTTAGCCAAAGTGGACCTGCGCATCGCCCGGTTAATTGGTATGATGCTCGCAGAGCTGCAGCTGGCTAATCTGTCCTGATGATGATGATGATGATGATGATGACGACCTGTGGAAATAATTTGATAAAGGCTATCAAATTGTCCTGAACACAACACACGCACAAAAACACACATACACTCTCATTTCATCTCTAAAAGGTATGTGCACATTTCCCAATTTTTTTTCTCAATGTCATTATCTGTAGGTCAGATCCTGACAGTTAGACAGCGTTGACTTGCGCTGAGTGAGAAATGACCTTGCTGAGGCCCCTTTTATACATATTGTGGACAAAAGTATACACTACACATCGCTATACAAAAATCTCTATGATTTCAATGGGGCAGGGGCTTTTGCTATTCTCATTTCTATAAAGAGGATTTCACCTAATTTAACTTCGCCAGCCACAAAAAATGCATTACCCGTGGCAGCACAGAACCAGCTTGTCACACTATAACATCAATGATTAAAACGTGTTTCCTTCAACAAATAGAAGAGGAAGAAGAAGTTGTCTTGTTATAATGAGTCAAAATCTAAGAGGAACAGTATCCCTTTATAACGTGATTCTCCCTTAAGTAGAAGAGTAGAGTACATCTCATAACATCTCATACAAAAAATCCTGCGGTGGGTTTTTGCGCAATTGGGAGCTAAAGTGGAATATCCACTGCGAAAGGGCAATTAGCCATGATTCTAGATTGTGAAACAGACCGTAAATGACCAAGTGCTTCAAATGTTGGATTAATCTTTATCCAATGAGAGAGAGAACTGCCTCGATAAAAAACTGTCTCATTTTAATTATTGAAATACTTTTGTTCTTGATAGAAGAGAGGAGAAATGCTTCGAGAAAAAGAGGGAGGGAATGATGTGCAACAGAGGTTTCCTTCCTCACCACCTGCGTCCCAGTATCTACATCTATGAATTATACTGCATAGAGCATAATAAATACTTCAGTCTAAAGTTCCAGTTGGATCAAACCTCCTTATAGATTACTGGTCAGAAGCGTCATCCAAGTGATGCACGTTCATATCCTTTATGTGCCTTCACCCACAAAGGTACTGAATCCTTTGTTCTTTGCCAGAACTTTGATGTGTAAATTTGTGGTCTGGTTAGGTATTTCACATGTTAACAAGATGCCACATTACTAGAGAAAGTGAGTAAAGGCTGTCTGTGAAAAGTTTCAGAACAGGGCCGAAAAACAGGGAAGTCAGTCTACAGCAGTAAGCCTGGAAATTGCACCAAAACAGTAAAACCATCCTAGTTTTTTTCCAGTTGTACTGTACGACTTCAGACAAAGCAAATATTCACAGGACAGAGGTGTAATGTAGTTGTACCCCTACCGGGAATTACTACAGTTTCTATAGGGAAGCTGACAGCAGGAACATAATTACCCATCTCAAGTGCCTTAAGGACATTTTATTTCTGCCAAAATGGGTTCATCTGATTAATTGTGGTTTTAAAAACTGTGAGAACCCCCATATAAATGGTACAACATGTCAGCGAGTCTACTCCCTGTCTCTGAAGTATACAAATTCCTGTTGCAGGTGACATGACCAGATTGATTTTTTAGTAAAGACACATCGGTCGAATGTCATTTCATGTATTTCATTTTTCTATAAAACTGTTTTTGCCCATGTACCTATTTTTACAGCCATTAATTGTAAATTCTCTATGTGAATTTTAAAAGCAGTTCTGGTTTTTTTCCGCAAAAAGAAAATCTGATCTAATTGTTATAGTTGTACTGTCAATATGATTATTTGTAATATATTCACGATACAGTAAAATATTAACAAGAATAGGAAAAGAATATCTTATTGTGAATTCAAAATAAAATGTATAAAAACACAATTAGTAAGGAAGCACCCACTTAAGTCAAATCAATATCTCTATTTGGACATTGATATGAGATATACTACAAGAACAAGAGATCTCTGAGACAGAGGATATTACTCTGTCAGCTGTGGACATTATCTCGGTGCTGCAGAGGAAGACGGACTTAGTCATTTGTATCATACAAATTAAATGGAAAATTAAATTAATGTTGCCTCACATTATTCTTCATATAAGGCCTTTGTTGGAAAGGATTAAGCAGAAAGTCTATTTTTGCCTGTGGAGGATTGGTGAGAGCAGTATTAACTGAAAATGAAAACTTTCTGATCATGTGCCTCAGGAACCCCTTTTTCTTTTAAACAATTGTATATTTTCCGTATTTAGCCATTCATTATGTATATTGTTCAACTGTTTTCTGTTTACAGTATATATTTCTTTGTGATTAATTCAATTCATTTAAATAAAAAAGAAGAAAAATAAATAAAGATAGCTTGTTATAATTACCAATTCATGAATTCATTCATGAATTAATTATAAGGAATGATAGATGGTCCATAAGATGGGCCAATATTCTAGAAAACATGTTTGAATTGCTTTTTTTCTGAATGACGGGGTGAAATGATTGACAGATTATATTTTATAGCAGACAAGATGTCTTATTGCTGTTTTGTGGACCGATTCTATCCCATTATAGGAAGGTGATTCCAGTGAGGCGTGAACGGTGATCAAAAGATCACATGTGTCTCCAATTCACCACTGGTTTCATCTGCAAAGCACTGTAACTGCCCTACTCAGCTAATAAACCCTTGCTAATGAGACCTAGAGATGATACCCAGAAGGTGATCCCGGTAGTGGATCGATAGCTCACCATGAGGAGTCAGCACGGGGTTCATCATGACTCATACTCAGTGCACCACAGGGAAAACTGAGCTTTCACTAGGCAGGTTGGCTGCTCCACTAAATACGAAAAAAAGAGAGTCCATCTCATTTAATGTGATTTTAATGCCAAGGTTTTATTTTAACTTTGAATACATAGAAATACAGGCAGGTAAACCTAAAGATAGATAGACCAATCAATCAAAATCAATAGAAAGAGGATCTACAAATGCGCCAACAGACCAACAGCTGACTGGCGCCGAATGGATGGATACAGACAATTTTTCCAATGGTTCAACGTGAATCCTGAACCGCAAAAAGTAACATTTTATTTTTGTCCTTGGCTAACTGTTGTTGTTTTTCACCTTTATAAATCATCTATGTCCAGCTCTTATGTTTACCTGCATATAAAAACAAAACAGAATGTATTAAAATAAAAAGCAGAACTCATTGTATTAAATATTAAACAAGTGATGCTATTGTATGGTGTTTGCTTTAATGGTGCGTTTCACTTTACAGTTTTAAATCACTGTGTGGTTTTAGCGGTGTGGGATGCAAAGTCAACGCTCGTATCCGACATACACTGTAAGCAGAGGAAGACTTAGACCACTTTGTTCACATTAGCACAGCAAGCAAGGAAATTAATAATTCATTATATACTTATGATTCATGGATGTTTAAGACAAATATGCCTTTCTTTTTCAGATATAGAAGGCCATTGCTTTTTGATGTCTAACTAAAATATCGATGCAAATATGTTGAAGATGCACACAGGATGTTTTTCCACATTTCAACATACTTTAAAGTAGGGTTGAGAAAATGTTTTGCAGCTGATTGTTTGTCCATGAGAGTTTAAAGTTCTGCATGTGTCAAACTAAAGAACACTTTGTTTCTTAAGGAAGGTGTCCTGGTAGCTGGGGGCTAAACTGAGTGGCCCGTGCCTCCTTTTTCCTAATCAATGTCCTGCAGCTTTTCCAAGGTGGAATCCCAATTCCCTGTACCCTGTAGTCCTGATATAATATATTTCTAGCGTGACATGGGCCCTCCCTACTGTTCAATATGCCTGGTATATCTCCGCATGGCGGAGTCATCAAGACATCCTAATCATGTGCACAAATCATCCTAAGCGGCTCTTTTTAAACTGATGCAACAGCAGTGCAGTCTGAGCTGCTCATACTTCCTGTGCAGTTGATCCAAGGAGAATCTTATTGCATGTAGTGCAATTTTCTCATTTATAATACAAACATCACATCTACAGTACATATGGACATGAGCAGTTTAACAATTTTCATATGGTATAAATCTTAGTAAGGCCTGTACTAAAGCATTGCACACTGTTGGATGAAAAGTCATCTAAAAGAAACTAAATATATTCTAAGACGTTGGCACCGGCTAATGATCTCAAATGCGAAGACACAATCAATAGGTGCATGCTGGCTCAAATGTTAAATCACAGTATGCCCTTAATCATTTCAACACAACATGGAAAGGTCATGTCAGAGGAGCATCAATCTGTTGTTGACATTATTTGGAACAAACAAGCAAACAGGATTACCCATTATTTCAACAAATTTCTCAGGGTGAAAGTACCAAGCACCGGCACAAAAGAAAAGTGCTCCATGAAATAATAAAACAAAATTCCAACATAATTTTGAATGTGCGCAATGATTTTTTTACTTACTCAAATGAAATGTGCCAGGTTAAAAGGCTGTATTGTCATTCAGTCGTGTGTGAGTGTGTTAATTACCCCTCAGCTTCCTTTTCTAAATGTGTTGAAGAAGGTAGGGATAATTATCTTTAGAGCGGTATTACAACTTGAGTACAAAAAATATATAAAATTGTCTGATCTCCTTTTCTTCTGTCCTCCTGCTCCTGTTGTGCGTGTTCAAGTAATTCATGTAAAAACCACAATATTGAATGATTCCCATATTACGGTGGCTTTTAACAGTCTGTTACTGTTGGGATTTGACAGTTGTTTTTTTTACAGCGTGTTTTTTTTTTACAGCGTGGCTTTTTCTACGCTAACAAAAAGACAGAGATTCTTAGTTGCTGGTGATTATACACTGATTAAAACATGACTATGGATATTATATTCCATTGCTGCCAATTAATCCCCCTAAATGTTAGACACTGTTTCTTCAACACAACACTTCACTTTCTTTGATATCCATTTAAGGCATGGTAATTTATTCAAGTTGTTGCAGTGTGAGCCATTTTTATGTATCATACATAATTCAAAATAGTTTGAGTTG